GTGGTAAGCCGGTATATGGCTTGCCCTGGTAAAATACATTAGCATGCTGTGAAATGGATTCTCAGATACTTGCGAGGTACTTCAAATACATGTTTGGAGTTTGGGAGAAATACTAACACTTTGGTTGGTTTTGTAGACTCAGATTATGCAGGTGATCTTGACAAAAGAAGATCACTGACAGGCTATGTATTTTGCATCGGTGGTTGCGCTATTAGTTGGAAAGCTACATTACAACATGTAGTAGCTTTATCTACTACCGAAGCAGAATATATGGTAGTGACCGAGGCGATCAAAGAAGCTTTATGGTTGAAGGGTCTATTTGCGGAATTCAGTTTGCACCAAAGTGGTATTATCATTTTCTGTGATAGTCAAAGTGCCATTCACTTGACTAAAGATCAAATGTATCATGAGAGGACGAAGCACATTGATATAAAGTATCATTTCATCCGAGAAACCATTGCTGAAAGAAAAGTCTTTGTTAAGAAGATTAACACTAGAGACAATCCCGCCGACATGTTCACAAAACCTCTTCCAGTGTCCAAGTTCAAGCTTTGCCTGAACTTGATTGGCATTTATGAAGAATGATTTTTCCCATTGGGGTTTTTGCGGAGAAGGTGGAGCAAATTTACTATATATAAGCCGAAATTAGGCCAAGGTGGAGATTTGTAATATGGCCAAATTTTTATGACATTTGCCATGACATAATATCCATTATAACAAATTTGTGGTTCATGACATTTTTCATGACATAATATCCATTATAACAAATTTGTGAATCATGACATTTGCCATGATATAATATCCATAATTAGGCCAAGGATTTCTTGCTATAAATAGAGGAGTTTCTCCTCATTTGAAAACACACCAATTCAAGAGCTTTTCACTCTTGTCTTTCTTTCTCCTCCTTTATTTCATTATAGAGTATTTTGTAAGAGAGTGAGTGTTGGGAAACACTTGTGTGAACCCTTTCTTTGGAGTGATCTTGTGAGGTTATTCTCTTGGGGTATTTGGGATTAATTAGAGTATTTACTCTAATTTTGTACTCTCTTTTGTACTCTTGTTGGTATAGTGAAATTGCTCCTCTCCGCTTGTGGACGTAGGTCACCTTGACCGAACCACGTTAAATTTGTGTCTTCTTTATATTCTTTAATTGCCGTTATTATCAACTTCCATTGTCTTTGTTATTGTCATTATACCGTTGTTTAGCTAAATTCCGCACTACTCGGGTTCCCGATCCTAATAATATGGATGAAGATATTAGGGAGTAACCTTTTCAGATAGTAGCCATGAACAGAAGCACTTTTTAAAAGTCCAGAAGAGTGGAACAAGTGCACATGTACCTACCCCACGGCCTAAGAGAAAAACAGCTCATCCCTATCCAGAAAAGTTCCAAAAAATGGTAGGATCAATGTGTGCATCTGCTCTCTTGTCGCGAGATACCATGATGGAAATAACTGTCTTACACTTTTTACTCAACAGTTGTTTCCCAAGATTCCCGGCCATTTCAGCCTTCAGCAGCTTTGCCTGAATATGGCTTTTCAATTAGGCCTGCTTCTTTTTCTTTTTCGGGGAAGGGTCAGACCACGTGGTGAGGCTAAAAATGAATCCCAAAAATATTTAGACGGTATGTCAAATTTATTTAGAATATACATATGTGGATGTGATAAGGCATCATGCATATATAATTACTGCCTTTATTGCAATATTATGTTACAGTTGTGGAATCTGGATTATAATTTTTGTTGAAAGTACAGAGAACTATTCTTAATGATTATGTTTTCTGTAGAAAGCGGGGGGTGGGTGNGCAGTTTCTTGTATGTTAATAAACCCCCTCCACAGGATTTTTTTATTTTTTTATTTTTTATGAAGTAAGATAATTTCATTGAATGACATCAAAAAGATGCATAGCAAAAATATACAACAAAAGTGTGGATGCTCATATACCAAAACTTACTGGATAACTAAGGAGCATACACAATCCAAAAAAGATTCAAAGCAAGTTACAGGGGCCTCGTTGAACTAAGTAAATAGATTGCTTAGACAAGTTGCTTTAAGAGAGTGATTAGGAGTTGAAATCCCATCAAAACATCTGCGATTTCTCTCATTCCAAATGCACCAAAAAATAGTAGCAGGCACCATTTGCCAAGTTTGTTTTACGGAATTCCTAACTCTCCATGAGCACCAGCTCTCATAAGCATCCTTGATACTGTAAGGCATGACCTAGGCAAGTCCAAAAACTGATTAAAACATGTTCCATATGTCAGCTGCTACTGTGCACTGAAGAAACAAATGTCTCACACTCTCAGATTCCTCCTGGAACATAAAATAGCTGTTCACTGTAGGAATACTTCTTCTACTGAGGTTGTCTTGAGTAAGGCAGGATTCATACATGCTTGTCCAGATAAAACCAATTACTTTTATAGGGAGCTTGGTTCTCCATATAAGCTTTCATGGCCATTTGTCAATCAGCTCTTTATTGGAGCATAGATTGTCGTATCCTCTTTTGACAGTATAGGTTCTATCTTTGGAATCTCCCCATTCCAGCGTGTCCTTCACCTGAGGGTTGACCTTAAAATCTGATAATTTTGAAAGCAATCTCAGCAGGTCATTTAGTTTCCAGTCTTGGATATCTCTTCTGAACTGCAGTGCCCATGAGTTATCTTGCCAATAGTGCCCAATAGTGGAATCCTTGTTGCTGGCCAATAGAAATAGACTTAGATGTTCGTCTTTCAGAATCTATGACCCTAACCATCTATCTTTCCAGAAAGAAATATGAGTTCCGTTCCCAAGCTTGAGTGATGACTTGAGTTGAAAGTCACCCCATAACTTTGAAATGTGTTTCCATGGCCCAGAACCATGTGGTAGTCTACTCTGTCTAGTACACCAGTTGTTAGCCACACCATATTTTGCTTGTATTACAGCTTTCCACAGCCTAGGGTACTCTATGTTGTACCGCCAGTGCCATTTTATTAACAAACTCTTGTTGTATAAAGTGAGATCTTTTATTCCTAGCCCTCCATGCCTTTTGGGGAGAATACTCTTGGCCATTTAACCAAATGAAATTTATGAGTTTGACTATTTCCTTCCCATAGAAAATCTCTCCTTAATTGATCAAGTCTCCTCTGGACCTTAGCTGGGATTGGAAATAGGGACAAGAAGTAGGTAGGAATGCTATCCAACACACTATTGATGAGTGTAATTCTGCCACCCAAAGAAAGATACTGTATTTTCCAAGAAGCCAACTTTTTTTTAAAATTTTCAATTACCCCATTCCAGATACCTAGAGCTTTGTATCTAGCTCCCAGAGGAAGACCCAGATATGTTGTAGGGAAAGAGCTCACCTTACAACACATTACTTCCACAAGTTCTTCCAAGTTTGGAAATGAATTGACTGGGTAGATGATGCTCTTCAACATGTTCATGTGTAGGCCCGAGATAGCTTCAAAGATCATGAGTGTAAGATTGAGGTACAAGACCTGTTATATTGCAGCTCCACAAAAAATCAAAGTATCATCTGCATAGAGCATATGGGAGATTGTAACAGAGGTACCATTTGTACTTCCCACCTTGAAACCCTCTAGCCAGTGAAGCTGATTTGCTTTATCTAACATTTTGCTAAGCCCTTCCATAGCAAAGATGAATAAAAAAGGAGATAGAGGATCTCCATGTGTAACACCTTGTTGGGGAGAAAAGAATCCAACTGGTCCACCATTGATCAGGATTGATTACTTTACTGTAGTAATACAGAATCTGATCCATCTAATCAAACATTCACCAAATCACATCCTTCTTAGTGTATTTATCAAATAGGTCCAATTAAGTTGATCAAATACCTTTTCTATGACAAGTTTGAAAAGTAGACCAGGTTGCCCAGACTTTATCTTCCAATCCAATATCTCATTAGCTATAAGAGTTGCATTTGTGATCTACCTATTTTTTATGAAAGCATTTTGATGACTAGACACCAATTTTCCTATCACCCCTTTTAACCTTTCTGCTAAGAGTTTGGAGACAATTTTGTAAACACTACCAATCAAACTGATTGTCCTGTAATCTCTCAGCTCAGTGGCTCCTTTCTTCTTCGGGATCAGTGCTATAAAAGTGGCATTACATGATCTAACTGGGTTGCCATTCTGGTGAAACTGCTGAAGGGCTCCCATGATATCGTCCTTGATCACCTCCCATGTTTTCTGATAGAATGCCATAGTGTATCCGTCCGGACCTGGAGCTTTATCAGGTGCACAATTCTTAATTACAGCCAAAACCTCTGCCTCTTCAAATGGCCTTTCCAGCCATACTTTCTCTTCCCCATTTAATGTTGCTACATCTTCCAGTCTTGTAGTAGGTCTCCAGCTTTCATTCTCAGTGTAGAGTTGTTGATAAAATTCTAAAATCTCACCCCTAATTAGATCTTGATCTTCAGTGATNTTTAGATCTTGATCTTCAGTGATGTCATCCCCAACTTTGAGTCTATCAATACAATTAGTTCTTCTGTTGGAATTGGCCACCTTATGAAAGAATTTGGTATTTCTATCCCCTTCTTTGAGCCACAAGCATCGAGATTTTTGTCTCCAAGATACTTCTTCTGCTTTAGCTAGTTGCTGAATTTCCACTTGGAGTTTCATAATATTGGCTTTTTCTTCGTGGGATTGAGCTATTCCTTCCGTTTGTTGTTACAAAAGAGAAAGCTCCTCTAATGTTATTCCCCTTTTCACTGCAATGTTGCCAAATTCTTCTCTATTCCAGATAGTAAGGTCTTTCTTAAGGAGCTTCAATTTTTGCACCAAAATAAAGTCAGGAGTGCCATTGACATCATAACTCTGCCACCATATCTTGATCTTTTCTAGAAAACCTTCTGTATTCAGCCACATGTTTTCAAATTTAAAGTAGGATGGGTTAGAGTCCCAATCCCCACTCTCCATCATGATAGGGTTGTGATCTGAAATAACTTTAGGAAGAGCAATTTGCTTAATCTTTCGAAAGGTATCATTCCACTCATATGATATAAGGAACCTGTCTATTCTTTAGGCTTGGATATTAACCTCCCCTCTAGACCAGGTGAAGTAAGCTCCCTGTAATGGTAAATCTACTAAGCATAGATCCTGGATGACATCAGTGAATCCCCTCATGGCTCGTGATCTTCTTACATAATTGTGCCTTTCACTTTCAAATCTACAAACGCTGAAATCACCTCCAATCACCCATTGTTCATCCCATAATCCTCTAACAGCTCCCAATTCATGCCATATTTCTTCCCTTTCCAAGTTTGTGTGTGGACCATACACCCCTTGTGAAACAAAATCTGAAACTCTTATGTGTGTTCTCAAGCATACCTGAAATAGAGTGAATTCCATGTTGGATTTCAATGCAGTTCCAATGTCTTTTGTCCCACATCGTAACTATCCCTCCCCTAGTGTCACTGGCTTTGAGTTCTGCCCATTCAACCCATCTGTTGCCCCAAAATTGCCTTGCTAGAATTCCATTCCAATCTTCAATCTTTGTTTCTTGCAAACAAAGAATATCCGGCTTCCAATCTCTTATTAATGATTTGATGATATCCCATTTCCTGTTGCCTTTCAACCCATTCACATTCCAACTTAAGTTTTTTGTTTTCATCCAGAAAAAATTTGGTATTTTCTCCATTTTTTCTTCTTTTCCCCTATCATAATTCACCAAGGATACCAACCTTTTGACTTCTGTTTTCCCTTTCTTTTTTGACTTTCTTTCTCCTTCTTTGGACTTCTGGTTTTTCAATTGAAGTTGTCACTTTTCCTCCATCCTTAGAACCGTCTCTAAGATTTTATGTTCAAACCCTTTGAAATTAACTCTGAATGCCTTGCATGCTTTTCCCATGACTAATTTAGTCCATTTTGATGTCTCAATTATTGTGGGGTTCTGAAGTTGATCACTAGAATCATACCAGGGAAGAGAGAGATAATCACCAGTTGATTGTACTGAAAATTTTGAATCTGAATCGGTAAGAGAAGAAGGAGTAAGACCAGAGATGGATCTTGGCATGCATAGAGAGAAAGTATTGTGCTCACCTTCATCGTCCGCTTTAGAATCATGGGTGGAGGTTGTTGTCTGGTCAGGCCTTGTATTAGTGTTCAGGGAAGGCATAGCAGTGATGGGTTTATTAATATAGGGGCCCTTTGCCTTCCAGATTTGCGTACCTTGTTTAATTTGGGCCTGTTTGTTATTCCTTTGCTCCCTCTTAAAACATTTGGGCTTTTTAGAGTAATAGGCCCAATCCAAGTTCTTTGTTTTGGAGGGTCCAGAACTATCATTTTTAATTTGCAAGTGGACCGTAGTTGATTGAACTAAAGGACCGGTTCTCTGACCTAATTCAAAATTTAGGTTTTGAGTGACACCCACGTGACCTCTCACGTGTCTATCATCAACTACAACTGGCTCTTTGGACATCGAGGTACCCACCTCTGTATCCACCGTCTTTGGAACTGCGACGACCCCATTTCTGCTAATTTGACAATAATCATCTGGCACAATTGAGACCCAATATTTCCAATATCCAGCTTCTACCTCCACCCTAGAAGGAGGTTCTGAGAGAGACTTTAACGCATATTCTAGCCCAAAACAGATTCGATTTGTTTTTTGTTTCAATATCCAGTCCAACGAATCCACCACAAAGATCTCTGATGGCTTTGAAAGTACCTTCTGACCATGCATGAAGAGGAACACCCAAGGCTCTAATCCATACATGTTCTGAGTTCACCTTGTTCATCTGCGTGCCGGACACCGGTGACCACCATCCCAGTGAAAGTCTTCTCCCACTCCAGAACCATTCGCCTTCTTTAACCCTTGTGGCCTCTTGTTTTGAAGGAAGATGGAAGAGGAATTGGTTGTGAGAAAGATGTGTAACTCTGAGACCGGCTGTCACTTGCCATCTTTTTGAGAACCGGCTTTGAATCACTTCTGATTTTGGCGATGCACTGAATGGGTCGTTAAAGGTCCCAATCAAGCAGTTTGAAAGGAAGCCTGAGCTGTTGTTGTTTGCATCTGGATTAACTCTGACCATTTTATCCACCACATTTGCAGCATTTAGACCGCTTTCCGGCCATTCTTGTATCATTGCGGCATCTGTATATGATAACTCCGCTTTCCGCCTATTTTTTCAATTTGTCATACAAAAATAGGTTCCACCTACAGAGTGCGGCATAAGGCTTTGGTTCCTATTTTTGGCTATTTTGAATGATGTCTTGGTGATGCACCTAATTATAATTCGACTCAGGAAGATGATCACAACAACGGAAACTTCATACTCCTTGATCTTCACACATGTTTTGAAAGTGTCAAAGTCAATTTCTTTATTTGTAACTTATCTTTCCCATTGAAGGAAATGAACCAGAAGGAGAGAGTTCAAATATGTTGAATTGTTGTTTAACACAAACTGGTAGGTGAACTTTCGTCATTTTCTACTTTACAGATTGCTCTTGGAGATGTTATATTTGTTTCCTACATCTAGAGGTGTTTTTGATATTTAAGGAGTCGGATTTCATAGTTAGTACTAGAACACAACCTTGGAGTTTTATGGCCAAACATTCTATAGACTAACCAGCTCTCGGCTATCAAAAATCAAAGTATTTTTCTAATTCAGAATACAGAGAAAGAAAGAGAGAGACCATGATGGTGGAACTCAAGCCTTTTATCTTCCATAAACACTATCTGCTAATATCCAAAAAGTTCTCTAACATGAAAGAAGAACACTAAAGTTTGACAATTGTGGTTGAAGTTGTATGTAAAGAGCATGCACTAAGGTATATTGTACATGAGAATACAATTAGCAATAAGGAAATTTAAGAAAAGGCCAAGCTAGTGCTCTTGTTTAGACTGGACCAGTACTCATCCTCCATTTCCTCCACTTGCTTTGTGGCATTAACTTTTTGTTCAACAAAGGCCTTAAGTTGTTGAAAGTTATAAGGTGGTGGAAGTGTACATGGTTCAGTATAACTTGGAGACTTCTCTAAGGCTTCTTCCATAAACTTCCTCCAAATACCATATGAAGAACATGCCAATGATTCTGAACATATTTCAATTGCATTTGGAGGAACAATTGGATCAAACTTCTGCAGCTTTACATATTCATTCAGCAGATGGTATATGTAATCAAACACATATTCCATCTTCATGTCTTCATGAATGAAATGACTCCCTGCATTCCCTATGGCTTGTGCCTGAAAGTTTCAAATTCAAAAAAATGAGATTATGACTAAAGAAGCATTTATAAACAAAGTGAATTGAAAAAGCATACTAATGTTGCCTGATGTTAGCATGTTACAACGTTCATTAGCCTGTATGGTTATTAGACTCGAAAAGCTTTGATATTTCTGCTAAATCTCGAGGAATTTTTTGGAAACTATTCATATATGGTACAACTATACTATATTAAGTTTACTTTGTCGGTGTGATTGTTTCCCCATTGAACAGCAAATTTGAGAGACCTACACTTATCAGTGTCTCTAATAGGCCAGTAATGCTGCTGTGGGATCATCCCTCTCATGAAGAAATCATAGTAACGTGGCGTTATGTATAATGTCGGAGAATCACAGGCAAATATGTATTTCTCACTCACAGACCATGCCCATCCTTCTACATATATCTTGAATCTAACAATTTTGCACCAATTTTCAAATTTCAATCCTCCCCAAAAGCATATTTAATTATCATTAACCTGTGGGTGCATTGGTCTTCAATATTTGATTCCTTGTACCCCTTTTTGGATTGATCACTCCAATCCTGACATTATCATTTGAAGACAAATTAAAGGTCATGTTATTATGTAAATATGTGTTGATAATGGCAGTAATAGTAGAAGAGAAACCTGGATATATAAGAGAGTATCCCAATTCTGATTATGAGTGACATTACACTTCATAAGGTCTTTCCTGACTGGAGAAACATTAGGATTTCCCCTCCAATAAGCAAAGGGTATTCTCTCTTTCCAACTGCTTTTCTTATTCCCTTGTTGTATCTTCTTCATCATACTTCTCCATGGTCTTATATTTGTCTCCCCTATATACAATAAAACCAAAATACAGTCATCTATCAATACTTGTGTAAATCCTAAAAAAGGGCAGTCCGGTGCACAAAACATCCCCCATTCACGCAGGGTCCGGGGAAGGGACGCACCCCTAGGGGTGTGATGTAGACAGCCTACCATAATGCAAGCATTAATAGTTGCTTCCACAGCTCGAACCCGTGGCTTATAAGTCACACGGAGACAACTTTACTGTAGCTCCAAGGCTTCCCTTCACTAATATAAATCCTATATACCAAAAATATTTAGGGTGAAAAGAAGGTTAAGTACCAGCCCCAATACGACCAATCTGGGAAAACAATATCCAGACTCTCCCAATCCGAACAATACCGGAACAATGGGGGTGGGCCGGAGTTAGGCTGCTGGAAGTCCTTGGCGGCGATGACCGGCCGGTCATCGGTATTAAACATGATCTCCAAATTAGGCAGTTTTCAAGGGTACCACCTTAGGAGTTGTACAATCCCATAAATGGTGAATAAATGTCTAGTATCAATAGATTTCTTTGGATAGCGTTCAACGAAAATTTTCCCATCCAATATTATTAATCTGAAGCGAGCATGTGTTTTGGCTTTCTCTAACATTTCCCTAGTGATTCCAGTCTTTTCCCAATGCCTTAAATCTTCATGAATCCATCTAAAATACTCAGGGCATGTTGAGTTGTTAGGATTTAAGGGTTTATAGGATGTAGGATAGGTTCTTGGACATGTATTGGTCTTGTTCCATGCATTGCAATCCAAAGGGTATTCAAGAACCTGAGGCCTGACACTCGAGTCTGCTACTGTTCGATAGAAATTACCTGAGTACTTTGCCTGCGCAAATTTAAAGAACAAATTGTCAATTAATTACTCGAGTAGGAGAATGAAATGGTAAATTACTAGTAGAGTTACATGTAACAGTCTGTAATAATTAGAATCACTAAAGCAGTGACCATTCTGGAATGACAGTAAAGACTTTTTACACTATCAAATATATGCATTGACTTACAAGATCAATCCATCCAGAAAACGACAAGGCTGAAACTATAACGATGGCAAACAAGATAATTAGCAAAACTGTAACGAAGGCTGTCGATGTGGCTCTCTTCTTCAGATATTTCACTGCATTCTTTTGCGGCAAAACATTGATCATCAATTTCAACTTCTCGTTCCTTTCTTTCATGTTTCCTCCACCTCCTATAAAATCCAACTAAGAAATTTATGTCTAAGCAGAGAAAGTGGTAAGCTTGGCAATCATAGGTTTTCTTAGTACAAGTTGAAATTGATTCAGAAACAATGCAAGTATTTTGAAACTATATATATTAATCTTGTTCAAGTCCTTAGACATTCCAAGTTGATCTCCACAATCTGATGCTTTTTCTGCACCTTTAGGTAAGTGTTTAAATTCTGTTAACTATCTTTCTATTTAGAGTATACTACTGCTAGAAGAAATTAATTTGCAAGTATATCCAAATGCCCTTAGGTAAGTGATTAATTTCTTGCAAAATGAATACCATGCTAAACTGGTCATTATTGGTCATGAAAGTATTTTTTTTTTTTTTTTTT